CTTTTCCTTTTCTTGGAACTCTCCCCTGCCTCGAATTGCCTCAAGGGGGCTTCATCCTCCATTATGGCTTTTCCTTTCCCTTTCGGGCTGGTCAGTGATAAGGCGGGCGCGGACCTGGGCCTAAACAACTTTAACCTAGCACCCGCCACTGGGTCTTTCCACTTGGATCCATCTTATTCTGCTATTATATATGCACCCCAGTCGAGTGCCTCAACCACTCTGTAAGGTCCCATCCATCTGTTGGCGAGTTTTCCAGTCCAGGTTCTTTCCAGCGCTGCATCGTAGAGAAGGACCATATCTCCTACACTCACCCTCTCCTTCCTGATCCGCACGTTCTTATCCCATCTCTCTTTACCCTTGTCCCTTTCCACTAACAGACGATTTGCTGCTATCATGAGGTTATCTTCCAAACCGTAGGCTATCTGTCTTGTTCGGGCAGCTAAGAGTTCCTCTCTGGACATCTCCTCCGCCCATTCGACGGTTGTCCAACTGTTGACGTGAAACTCTATGGGAAGCGGACAATGCCGCCCAAACCATAAGGTGTATGGAGGGTATCCCGTGCTAGCCCGGACCGTGACGTTGTCCGCCCAAGTTGCGTATAAAAAATATCGTGGCCAATCACTGTCCTTACCTCTGCACCACTTGGATAACGACGATATCAGGGTCTGGTGCCCTCTCTCTACTGGGGAGTTCGACTGCGGGTGGTAGGCAGTAGCTATCGAAACTCTCGCCCCAGCTCTCTTGAACACACTCTGAACCTCGTCAGCTAGGAATTATGCCCCTCTGTCCATTACTATCTTGCGGACACAACCATACCTAGATAAGTACTCTAGGACGAAGTTCTTCACTTCCTTTGCCGCCTTACTCCTGATAGGCCTACCGTCCACAAACCCCGTGAAGTCGTCTCGTATGTTCACGACATAGTTCATATTGCCGACCCCTTTCGGCATCTTCACAAGATCGATGTGTACCTTCTCTCCTGGTCTGGTTAGATAGGATGGATGAAGTGGCTCTTTGTATTTGACAAGAGCTCTCTTTTGGCATTCTTCGCAGGTCATACAGTACCTCTCGACGTTCTTAAACTGTCCTTCCCACCAGTACAACCCGCGTACCTTTTTGTAGGTTCCTTTGACTCCCCTTTGTCCTCCAACTACCCCGTCGTGAAGCTCCGCAACTATCGTCTGTCTCTCCTCAGGGTTACAGACTACTCGTAAGGGCATCCCCGAGCCGCCCGGCCTCCGAAACAGATGGCCAGCTCTAAGGCAGTACTGGGCCGCTTGTCTCCGGATATCTGATTCTTGACTCTCCTTTCCTGACAAATGTAACCCGATCATTCGGTATTTGCCCTCGTAAAGGTTAACCAGAAATTGCTCGGTGCGTCCTGGCTCTGCCATAGTCAGGGCCCCGGCTACTATCGGGCGCTCGGCCTCAAGAGGGATGCGCGAAAGTCCATCTGCCACGACATTTTTAGTGCCAGATATCCTCTCAACCGTGTAATCATATAGTCGAATCCGTATTAACCATCGTGCAATGGTCGGGTCTGTCAGGCTAAAATCCTTCTGGAGGACAGAGGTAACCGTGGTGGGATCTACTCTCAAGATGAACCGCCGTCCATAGATATAATGTCTGAACGTGTCTAGACACCGCAGAACAGCTAATACTTCCTTCTTGAATTGACTGTAGTTTCGCTCCGCCGTATTAAGTGTCCTACTCTCAAATCTTAATGGTTTTT